TTACTTACTGTTTGTTTATTTCCTGGTATTTGAACTTAATTTTCCTGATATACTAATATAATATATTTCTTCTGTAGCCATTTTGTTTGCGACATTCTTGGGTCATAAATCCTCAATACGCCTTGTGACTTCGATTAAATAATCCGACAAAAAAGGTTGCGCAATGTGGAAAAAAAGCCAATGTAATACTTCTGCCTTTTATGGGGCTGAATTTTAGAATGTCCTGTACATTTGTTATAATAAACCACGGAAATCTACCCATGTACTTTTGTTTTGTTATGCAGATAGAATGGTTAAATAAGAGTTCACCCAGGGAAGTAGGTACTGTCACCTTACCTACATTTACCGCCAAGCGTAAATGTAGGTAATGTGAGTATTACTGCGTTCCGGGTTTGAAGAGTAAGGATGCTCGTGAAATCACATGCACATGGGCTTTGTAAACTTATGTCTCAAGGTGACGGGCGCAGTGGCAGTGCCCCTCAGTTCTTTGCGATTTAAAGCTCTGAGTGGCAATGCAACTACTACGCACAGGCGTGTCGCTTACCACCACGCGTACGACTTGTTCGTCCTGTCACATGGTATCTTAAAAAGAAACTAACTTAAAGGACATTTTAAAGGACATAGTACAGAGGCGAATGTTTCCATTTAGACTTGTTAGGGCCTGTGTTAGGAAACATCGCTCTTCTATAATATTAATCGTAATCTTGCTCTTATATAATTTTAAGATGATGAAACATAATACTTTCTCTACTAAAACTAATCTACTATAACTGGTCTTACAACTAATACAAATTTCACTAATTACAGTAATTTTTTAACTTTTCAGACTAAAAACTAGATTAACCTAATTGTTAGTGTGTGTGAGTGCAAGTATGTGTATATGTATCTGTAGGTGTGCAATTGTGTGGAATGTCATCCATCCGATGGACGTACAATATCCAAAATTATACATTGTCATACCATGTTAGATAGTATCATTTCAATTGCTTGTCTCGTATATAAGAAGTTACTAAAATAACAGTAGTATTATAAGTTTTTATAAACATATATGTAAATTAAATTTCAATTTGTATATATTTATATTATTTATTTACATTATATATATATCATGTATATACTGATATAGTATAAATTTTATGTTTACTTGTTAATTTATTTATACATATATTTCAAACTTGTAATAATAATTGCTCAATCTCCTCATATGACTTAGTTTCGAGCCATTTTGTAATTGCTAACTTGAATTCACGAACTATTTTCTTGTACAGATCCAGTTCTCTGTTTAAACTATTATATAGATATGAGGTCCTGTATTTGTACTGTCTACTAGCCGCAGTAGTTTTGATTTTTGGTACCAGCGCTATGTTATAGTTTCTTCTTTTACCTAATACCCCAGGTTCATATGGCAAATTTTTATGTTGTTTTATTACAGTGTCTATACACTACATGAAGTTTCCTAACAGATGTTAGTTTTGTCAGCTGATACAAACTTTCAGTGGAATAAATCCTTTTTTTTTAAATAATTGTTTTGATCAAACCACGTTGTGCTCGTTCTATTTGAATAAATTTAGATTTTGCTGCACCACCTCAGACAGGGATGCAGTAATAGATTGTACAAGGGAAACATAAATCTCTTTAAGGAGATCCCTAGTAGTAACTTTGGTAGCAGCTAGATCAGTGCCCCATTCGGCATGACATACCTCAGTGATTTGAAAATCCAGGTTAGTTTCCTGATTCTCATTGTTAATGTTCGAGGTGCGGGTACCACGAGAGACGCTGATCCAAGATGATACCTAGGTATTTTGTTTGATCAACCCTTTGTATGCGCGGGTGATAGCATTTTTATTTTGGCATTTGATAGCATTTTTATTTTGGCATTAAATAACGCGATCTACAAATTCTGCGTAAAATTTATCTATAAGTTGGCACTTGGTTCCTCGTAAAAAAATATAGATGTCTCTGTAAATCAGTCTGCTTTGCAACAGATTTTGTAAAACATTAATTTTATAAAATTCATAATATCAGTTCATTTTTATGGTTTCATAATTCTTATTTGAATTTTAATTGACTGTTTGAAATAATACATCACAATTTGCCTATAACAATTACACAATTGCATTTTGAAAAGTTCCGTTTTCGTTCAACTTTTTATGGACTATTATGTTATGGTTTCTAAAATTAATGATATTTAGCTAAACTAGACGACTGCGAATCTTGTATAATTATTATACTAAATATAGTATTCACGAAGATTATGTTTACAACTTTGTAATGTATAACATTTTAAATTAATGTTCAACCAAGTGAGTCAAACAATACTGTTCTGTGATTGGCTGATATTTTGGTACATAAAATTGATGATATTTGCTAAATTAAAACATTTACGAGGTTTATATAATAGTTACAATTCTTTAAATATGTTTTAACAACTTATTAGGTAAACGTTTTAATTATCTTTAGCACGGTACAAATGTAAACGACTACTGTTTTGTGATTGGCCAAAATAGTGTGTGTATGAGTAAAATTTCAAAGGGGGTTTTGAAGGGTATAAAAAGGAATGTAAGGCTGGGGTGGCTCATTATTAAAAGTGCCGAACCCTGAACCAGGAAAAGTTAAGTACCTTTTTTGTAACTTGTTTTACTGCTTTGCTACTGTGTAATTGTGTTGTGTAAATAGGACCAATGTCCCTGGGCTTTGGTATAGATTCAGTACCTAAACGTATGAAATCCGTTATAAATACTTATTGTTTTCACTCGTCCATTTTAATTAGTTTTTTTTAGCATTTTGCTATAATTTTGTATTAACTAGCACCTTAAAACATGTCAGTACTTAAAACTAATTGAGTTGAAGGAATAGTGCTATTAGTTTCATTTGTCTATCCTGTTATTTTTAAATCACTTGTAACATTTTTTTTTTTGTTAGTTTAATGCTGGCATAATTGATTAAAACTGAATTATGTTTCTGGTAGTGATTCTGGTTTTAATTACTTAGGTTTACTGTTATACTGTTAATTGACATTTGTTTTACCCTATATTAAAATAAAACTTGGTTTACTATAACTCTGCTTTTGAATTCTTTAGATAATTGACTTCCCTTTATAATAGAGTTTAGTACTTTAGTAATAACTCCGGGATCCTCTAACACGGGCAAGTACAAGGCTCATTAGAGTCTGTAAGATTTTTGTCACAGTTGTGGACTCTTATAAATTCTCACAAGGTGGGTATTTTTATAATTAGCAAAACCCAAAAAATTGGTCCTTACTGCATTCAAGGACAGAATGTTACTACACAACCATTTGTTTATTTGTTTGAGCCCCAGATCTTTTTTCGCAGCAGTATTGTTTTGTTATGCAGATAGGAGAGCTCAAATAAACTATGAGTTAAATAAACTAGTAAGTTGCTTTCTGAATTACATGACTATACTAAATTTATTTTTAGGTGTCACTGTATTCCGATGTAGTTCACAGTTTCACAGTTCTTAGCCTAAAGGCAACATCATAACTTTTCTTAAATGTGTCGAAAACATCGTCTTGGGATAATGTTGAACCTTATAAGAAACACGAATAACCTCTCTCATTCTCGTTCCACACTTACATTAGGCCGCCAAATGGTTTCACAGGTAGTCTTTCAATGATCATAAACAAGGAAAAGGCCTTTAGAACAAAAAACACACGTCATGAAGGAAATTTCATTAAAAATACATTTTGAAACAAAACTACAAAGGCATACAATATGTTTGTGATGTACCGCATCTGCGTTGTTGTGTACCGACGAATATACGTTATATTGTGTATGTAATAACCTTCTATTATGAATATTATACTGCAGAGCCATGTGTCAAGGATTTTGAATTATTGTTCAACACACTGCTATAATGCTCCTATGTAAATAAAGTGTATTTTGAAAGAACGAAATGCTGACCTGCGAAGGAAATAACAACCTTATATTTCTGATACAAGGCGAGCTTGCCCATAATTTAATTATTACTGTATGAATTGAATTCTGTATTTCTTGTGTATCCGCGCAGAATGGACATAGGACGGAAATGAAATCTTTTCGTGTATACATTAATATCCAAAAAATATTTTTCACTCTACAGTTCAGCAAAACGAAAAATATGACTGTTCCCCATGAAATCTAAAATACAATGTTATTGAATAATCTATTGCAATACTTGGCTTCCAGTCTACGGGAATTTGATGTGGATATTATGAAAAATAGAAGAGCAACTGATGCGGGCGGAGTGACTCGAGTGGAGAACACCGATCGTATTGTTTGTACGTACCAGTCTTCAACTTATCTGGAGACTTGAAAGGAATTTCTTAGCTTTGTGGAGGTGCTGCTGGTGCTGGGGGCGTTCTGGTGGATTGTAAAGGTGTGTAGCCTGGATAGCAGTAATAGCCTCCGCAGCCTCGCAGCCTCCAACATCTTATTTAGTAAATTTAGCAATTCAAACGTTGAAAGTCCAGTTTATATATATTTAATCGGTTTTAACAAATATACTTAAAATGTAAACTGTATAAATATAGCTAGTAAACGATTCAAAAAGATAAATAACGGTCTGTTCGCTACCGCGGTCGCGCAGAGAGTGACGATGGAAAGAAACAAAATCAGAATGCGAGGTAAAATGGAACAATTTTAAATGTAAATATGAGTAGAAGAAGAAAAAACGATACGATACGAATGGAGAGACGCGATACAAAAAGGTGGGATGACGGTATAAGGAGGTCACACCGTCACAGCTTTTATCAGAATAGACACTATTATTTTACAGACAATGATAATGTCAGTATAGTTGCTATACATACTTAGACACTTTGTAAGATGAGGTTGAAAAAAAAACATTGAAATATTACAAAATTTTAATAAGCAACGTCAACCAAATTTTTTGTTAATATAGTTGTAGTAGATACCTATTCCAACTAAAACCATTATTTTGTCAAAAACTACACGTCCATTGAAAAGGGTAAACCGTCTTCAAGACATGGTTGCATTCGATAAGATAATATAAGTATATGAATTCTCCAATCTTGCGTTGTTTTAGTTTTGGGTTTTGTTGAAATAGATAGCTGTCAAGCTTGTTTTGAAAAGAATTCTAAGGCTAGCTAGCTTGGAAAGAATGTCATAAAATAATGTTGTGACCTATTTATTGTTTCGAATGAAGGCATCTGTTTTAGTTAAGGTACGTAACGTAAGATAGTTACATTATGTAATGAAGTGTAAAGTTAAACTCTTGTGGAAGCCTTTGTGCAGACGCTAGCGAGACATTTGAGGGGCTCTTTACACACAGCGGAGGGGGTTTCTCCCAACTCCTTGCTGTAAGCCTTGCACGCAGCGCCCTCGGCTGGAAAAAAAAGCGAATTGTATTAACTTTTATCCTCTTTGTTCGTAACGATAAAAGGATTTGGCTCGTTGTCTTCTTAATCTTTTCCGATTATCTCATTGGGGTAAAATCACCAACAAGTACTTAATAGGATTGTTGTGATTTGTACGAGTGGTGTAAACAATAAAATGTTTCCATTATTTTATTACTTGTGTATATAGACTATAGAAGGTAATTTTACATTTGCGTATATCAAATTTTTAGCTGGAGTTTACATATGCGATAATAAATATAATAATAAATATAAGATAATACTTCAAGGATAACTATGACAAATTATTTGGTTACTGTTTGGATAAAGAGTATTAATTGTATTTGATAAATCTAAAATGCTATACGTATGTCAGGATCATATACGATCGACGACGAGTTCGTATACGATCATTTCAACATGTAGGTACTTTGCCGGGGTACAACAACGTATATGGAATGCGCAGGTCGGATTACATGCTACCAAAAATTCTGAACGATCTACCAGGCACAGTGCTAAGTGACATTGAAGGTGATGTCAAGAAATGCGGAACTGTTTTGAAGATAGTACTATCTTGCTTTGTACTAATATAAGAAATAACTCGATTCCCACCGGCTTACCTACAATTTTTCACGTATCAAATATTTTAAATATTTTAAAGTAATTTACTACATTTTGTGCTCACTTTTACGTGTAGAATAATTAACCAGTGAAACCTACTAGTACCTCGTGTGCTAATAAGTGCCGGGTTTAATTGTCGCTATGGCGCCACTTGTTAAGGCAAGTGTGTTTTTGTTTTGTTCCTAAATGACTTTACTAAATCCAATTTTCACGCATCGCCACTGATATTGCAGTTATTTAAATGTAGCCATATGATCTAGAACTAATTAATATTATAGTGAATAGTAAGTTAAGTGTCGAGTTTGTCAGCTTTTCGCTAGGTGGTTAAACCACTAAGTTTTTGCCTAGCGATTAAGAAGAGTCGCCTTTTGTAAGATTTATTTTTGAAATTGAATAAATAAATTAAAAAAAATTTAAATATTGTATATGTTATACTCACAGAGCAAAGTAACGCATGCGGGACAGCAAGCGCATTGTCCAGAGTGATTTGTGCGGTACTCAGAGGGCTTTTGGCAGCTGCTAGCCGTCACTGGGTTGGAGCAGGGGTGCTGCTTGCAGTAGTTGCTGCCACAGATGAGGTCTCCGTACGTAAATGCCATGGCGCACGCCAGTAACACCAAAATTAGGACACCTTTCATTCTGAAAATCATAAAAATACACACACTCGTATATATTTCCATTCTACTTATTTCATATATATCTCTCTGCTACTACTAATATATATATATATATATATATATATATATATATGTATGTGGAGGTATAGTAGCAGAGCTCTTCTTCGTTCCGTCACTTGGTATCATAAAAGTAGTAAAAAAACCGACATCAAAAGTTATTTTATTCCCTAGTTTGCCACCCTTAGAGGTGGAATATTTTCTTTAAATTTAAATGGGACCATTACCGAGGTAACCTCCTTCCAACGAAAAAAAGAATCATCGAAATTACTTCACAAATATACATAGTTGTCGCGTAACATACGTACAAAAAAAATATTGTCGAATTGAGAACCTCCTCCTTTTTTTGTAGTCGGTTAAAAAAATAAAAACAATTTGTTTTAGTGCGGTATAGTAATTACTGGAAATATTTATTAATAATATAACTCACAAACGCGAATTTTCCACCTCATCGGACAAGCGCAATTACATGATAATAGGCTTAAAAGTTTATCTACATTGTTTTTCCAGCATATTCCGCTCCGTTGGAAACTAAAGAGTTATTTAATTAAATGCAAAAGCCGCACGGCACTGCTATAAATGCAATGGAAATTTTAGTTTCGCTTTCTACTTTGTAACACACCTTCCTTCTGACTTGATTAATTGGTTATCCCTGGATGATGTCTACAAATCTGTAAACAATTGGATACATAGCTGACGTTGATCGAGATAACGGTACGGTTTGTATACGTGTTCAGAATGTACAATTGGGCAGAGGTTGGAAAATTTTGGTATTAGTATTGGTGCAACGGGCTAGTTTCCGCAACTCGACGTCAAGAGGTTGGAAAAATAGCTTTCCAGAATTTAGATGGCCGGTAAACATGCCGCGAAAGCCATTGACTGCCTGCATGACTGCCTTCGTAGACGAACGGTTACCACGCCGGACTGCCACGCAGAGGTCCCAGGTTCGATTCCCGGGCTGGAAGAATTATTTGTACGGCCTACAATTATTTGGTACTACAATGGTTATAGTTTGCATAACTATGTCCATTTGTGGTTGTCTATGTGTGTGTCCATGACACCCGCGATACAGGGATTCCCTAGTGCGGGGCAATGTTGAGTGTGTGCGTTATTATTATTATTATTTAACCTTTGCGCGTTTACGTATTGCCTCCGATTTGTATTCGTTCCAAATCCGAGACTTTACAAATCTAGAAAACTCGGACCCACATCGGATGTCGCTTGTGCACTGATTCAAATCCGAGAAAATACGGATATCGTTTGTACACCTAGAGATAAAATGACAGGTCGGACACCTGTGACATGTCAGACACCTGTGACATGTCGGACCGTCGTTTCTCGGATTCGGAACTGATACAAATTGGACGTAGTGCGCAAACGAAAAATATTAATGGTGGGTTTCGGAAGTGAAAACGATGAAAATGTTACAATGACTTTCGAATGTATATTATCAATACGGTCTATGCTAATTTTCAAATAAATTAAAAGCGTTAAATGTCCAGAATGCTTGTTTTATTGATACGTAGGTTAATAGATAACGGTCAAGAAAGAGTTGGACGTAAACACGCGTAGCACTGCGTCGTTACGAAAGGTGTGTTTTGTATATTTGGTATTATAAACCCGTTTCAGTATTAGAATAGAATAATAATATAAAATAATTTAAAAAACTGGAACAAATAATTACGTATGTGACATAATAGGCAGCGTCTGCGCTGTGCAGTTATGGAATTCGTCATCCACCTAGCTTAATGTCAACTCCGATCCGGTAAATACAAATAACACGGAACATAGCAGATGCATAACTAGATTACGTGGCATTGGTATTAAGGGTACGGCGATATAAATCACACGTTTAACATGATACTGATGCGTGATCACAAAATAAATAACGGCACGAAAATGTCGATAACGACACATTTAAATATTTTTTTTTCCTCTTTAACATTTTAACGAAATTCTATTCCGGATCAAATGGTACTTAAATTACTTTTAATACTTTCAGACTTATTTCATCCAGAGGGGACAATATCTTATAATAGGAAGTTTAGAACATTGAAATATAATTTTTAACGATCAAAATGAGAGCTATGACTATTTTTATTCAAAAAAGATATTAAGTCATTACCGTGTTTCCGGGAGACGATAAAAAGTTGAAGAGCATCACTCTGTTAATATCTAGAGAGCAATGGATGAAAGTTATAAAGGTTATTTATTAGGTTTTCGCTGCAAACTTTGCTTGGTGTCGCAAAGAGAAAAGAATGTGATAAGAAAAAAAATTAATTTGAATTAATTAAAATGAATATAAAACTGGAAGTAAATTAATTTCCTTCTCCGCGAATCCAGTGAAGATTAAATCGTGCAAAATATGTTTGTGTTCAATTTTTTTTTCATGCAGTTATTTTTTCCACTCTCCCCACGGTTATAATGAATGACGCAAACGTTTCTACAGTCACAGATGCCACCACCACCAAAAGTAACATTTAAGTATTCATTATTTACAATGTATATGCAGTGTTAGATTTTTATATAGTGACAATGTAAGGGCTTTAGATATTATTATAGAAAATACTTACTTTGTATGTGAGGAAAATTCGTGTAAAACAGGACGAAGATCTGTACGGGAATGCGAAGCGAAAAGCTGCGAGCGAGAATTATAAGAGCTGGAGATAACCCCTCGTTGTTTATTTGCCGCTTGATCCCACCGTTCGTAAGTATCTGCCCACTTTGTTCTTTATCTTCACTTGTTGTTGGGGCGATAAGTTTCGCGGAACTTATTATCTTATTTATACAAAAAGGTAATACTGGGTGAAAGTGATGGTATACCGAAACTTGTCCTCGGAACGTTGAAATAAAAAAAAAACATATGCAAAACATTTCCACAACTATAAGAGCGTTCTTTAATATGACTGCAATCCGCAACTTGCATATTAAATCGGCACAAGCAAAAAGTTTAGTAGGTTAACTACGACTTAACTATATTGTGTAGGCAGATAGGGAAGTATTTTATGAGTAGGTTTATCGTGAAATTGCTAAGGCATGTTGAGGCCTAAGGCATTGCAGCATTTATTGTCACTACCAATAAATTTTCAATCTAAAACTATTTTACAATGTGTAGTAATAAATGCTCCCAAAAGTAAATTAAGAATGAGCTTATTTAAGATATGAATATTATTGCGTTATATAGGAGCTATCTGAAATTTTTGTCAAAATAAATATACGGAAACAGCCAAATGAAATGCTTAAAGTTCCGAAAAATCATACTAACGTAATACTACTCCAAATGAATTTATATGTTATCGAAAACTATTGTAAGCGAAAATGTATATTCGTTTCTGTCCAGAAAGACTTCAACGTTTGTATAAAAAAATTACCCTTGTAGCAAAGGTTCGATATAGCGTTCGAAGCTTGCACGAAGCGTCGCCGCCGCGGGTCTTGGTTTTTTATTCACAGAATTCTAAATAAATATTTAGAATTCTGTGAATAAAAAACCTTTTTATAAAACGTTAGTATTTATTTAGTTAGAAGTTCAGTTCTTTTTCGTAGACTTGTAATTTGAATGAGCTCTTAATTATATGCTAAATATGATTAATGTTGTATTCGGTGTTTATTTATCAGTAACTCGTTTTCACGCAGCTTAGTTAGTATTACAGTTAGCAACAGGTTGGCTGCAATTTAATTTGTTTTCGGAAACTTCATTACTTCCTTTTTACAATGCATACTTTTAAAACTTGTCTAACATAAATAACTTTTATAATTTTACAATCGGAATATCTAGTGGGTAAGCCATTGCAATATCAATAACGAGCCTTATCTTACAATTACATAAAACAAATAAAATTGTTAGTGAATAGTATGTACCATATTATGTAGCATATTGATGGCGCTAGTACGAAAATCTTATATTTACGTATTGTGGACATTGGATTTTAAAGTACATAGTATGATTTGAAACATCTTTAAGTTTTTTGACTATAGTGTTTCCTGTATGTATAGATTCCGCCTGAATGCCTGACTCTCAACCAAAATATTACTGCTGCGTTCCGGAGGGAAGAGATGGAAACTTTTAGGATCGTATTGTATCGCTACCGCCAACGTATTTGTGTTATAAAAGGTTAATATCGAGTTGTCGCAAATGTCCATCTGACTGTTGGCCTCACGGAAGAAAAAAAAACAATGGAAGTGCCTTAAGCCTCGATTGATGTCGCCAAAACTCACCCATTCTTAATTTGAAACACTACAAAATCTTAATATCGGTTGGTCGTAGTTTCAAATTAAAAAAGAAATAACAAATTCTGGATTGTTAATATAATTTAAAGTTTATCCTGTTGGCATATCGTTGAAAGTTCAATACCATCAATAACTTTTATAAATTTGTTGAATTAAGATAATATACAGGTAAATTAAAAAAGGCAATAAAAGCTTAAATACTAGAAAGTAAAACTAGGATTTTTAAATTAAGTATATGAATAATTAAATAAATAAAATAAAAAAAAGAAATTGGGTCCCCACGACAAGGTGCTGGTAGCGTTCCCCCTTTGTATAGCTATGCTAATGCGTTGGGCAAGGTAGCTGCCCTTGGGTTTCCCAGACATTTTATTAATTTTTTCGATAAAATTTTGTACAAACGAAGAGCACTGGGACCACACGGGCCAAGGGTTTCACCTCCAAAGGCTGTAAATATGTAGTCGGACTCGAGATCCTGGTACTTATTATTTTTTTATTCTTTCCGCCAGCTCAGCTGCGGAGCCAGCTCTCTTGCTGGTGTACTGGAGATAGAATGGGGCAAGTGTGTCGGCACATAATTATGGCGTCTCACACCAGTACCCGGGCTTTACTCCATAACTATTATTGCAAGTTACGACGTTTTGATATTATATTGAAATTTCAATCAATATGCTGCCATCTAGCGGTTAATTACTGAATGACGACGGATTGGAGTTATTAATTGAGTTCTCCAAAAAAGAAGCTACCATATTGCAGTGGTATAAGCTTTACTTTCGTTTCTTGTAACAAAAAAATTATTTCGACAAACAGAAAATTTAAAATTTATTAAAATAAGACTTTCTGATGTTATTAAATACCACCACGGATAATATTTTTAGTGCGGCTATCATTTTTGCACTCCAAAACAGCACAATAAGGCATGTTTATAGGATTTTAGATAATTTGCACGAGAGAATGACATAACCATACCATACAAAACGGAAATGGCGGACTGAACTCAAGTAGGTCTTTCGAGACCTATAGCTTGCATTTATTGTTCTGTGGTTGGCCTCCTAATGAAAGTACATTGTTAACCGATTTAAGACGACTTCAAATATATTGAAGATTTCAAAAAGTTGTCTTGTGGCGACCGGCCTTACGCTTTTTGATATAAATGTCTATTTTTCTACTTTGAAGTTTTTGTATTTTGTTTGATTTGTTCTGTCAGTGTTTTGTGTTTCTCGTGAATATATTAAAATTATTATGTGGAGCTAATGTCCAGTTTTATTATTGCTTCCTGCTCCCATAATTTGATGACCCCGACGTGACTGATTTTTAACTCTTAAACGTAACGATAATAAAACGACATATCTAAAAGATGTCGACCGAAACCAATGATGGTGAGTTGAGGGAGAAAAATATCTGCAGTGTTTCCATCAAGGTACTGTAAACTGAGGCGTAACTCGTGTTGCGTAGCGAGAGGTACTTTTGTAAATATAAACTGGAATAATCTTCAAAACTTGGTTTACTGTATTCTTTCACATATTTTCTATTTCAGGTTACATCTCGAACTCTCAAGATGTTCTATTCTTTTCTTATTTCATTTTTCAAAACACATTCTAATTACAAAACTATATTCACTCAGCCAGTGATTCTACTCATAGAGTAGAGCCTAGACTACATCCCTCTTCCTCACAACTGAAGGGGTGAACATCCCTAGCTGGTGCTCTACCTATGATAGGCAACTTACATAAGTGATCAGCCTTTACTATAGGCTAGCCACACACTGCTCGGAAGTTATTACCTTACCAACAAATAAACCACTGAGGAGGCTATGGCTTTAGTCTGCCAAAAACCTATGTAAAAGGACAGACCATGATCACATCTTAATTAAACAAATCAAAATATAATTACTCGTCAGCTATCCTAGCTAATTAGGGAACCTGACTAAATCCTAACTCTTTATTACAGCGACCCTAGCCTGGCTGAATGATCCTAACAAAATTTCTAAACATTACTACTAAAACTTCCTAACTGTTTCCCTAAACTATCTTCAACGTGCATGCTGCCACAACGACGACACAGGCTTGAGCATCCATCGGACGATCACTGGGTTACATCAATATTGATCTCCCGGCTGCCTCAGTCCTCATCCTGCAGCTATCCACGTTCCATCAGCTTTTCTCACTTTCTTTAACCAAACAAGAACAAACACACATATAACCTTAACAACATATCCTAACATACATATGGGATGGGGGTATTCCATATGAAGGCCTCCTAATAATTAAATAAATATATTTTCCTTGAATGCAGACAGTTCTTGTTCATCTGGGAGGGTGACCACGAACTATACACACACACTAAATAATATATCTATGAAATTAAAAAAAGGAAAAGTAAGCTATATCTATCCAATCCAAATCGGCAGTCCATCATCTCTTCCCGTCCTTCAAAATCTGCATCGCCGGAAAATAACAAGTTCCCTCAAAATTATTCCTTACAATATCATCGTGGCTCCATATGAAAATTAAATATAAAAGATTAATTAACCTAGTAGAAACCAGAAAATATTAAATTACTTCCTATAGAACGTTTTCATTCTACTCGCATGCAGTAGATCCTGCCTACCCAATCCATTCCTATTTCTACCTAATCTTTTCACAATACAATTAATTATACTCAACCGATATACTACTCTAACTTCGGCGTAACATACCTCCTAGATATCAAAGCAACCCTATCTTTTTTATCAAATTTACGCTTCTCTTGCGATTGCACATTACCTATATATTCTTTATGCGGATTTATCGAGGCTGCTCGTTTTATACACTTGCCTTGTAAATTCTCCACATTACTTACGCGAATAGGTTTAAAAATGTCGCTTTCCGAATTATAATTTATATTTAACTTCGGCAAAGCATATTTATAATTATTTTCATTGGCATTACACTCTTGACGCAACTGATACGTCTTATCACTTACATCAACTTTATCTATTATTTCTGGCAAAACCGAAGAGTTTACATACTCCGATTTATTCAGCAAGAAGTTATCTAAACTTTTTGATACCGGTTTCAAAGAAGACTCTTCTTTCTTTGACCCAATATCTATCATGGACTTAGAAGAAGAAATTTTGTTGTCAATTTCCAATTTCGACAACTTGAAATCATATTTCTTCAAGATATCTTGGCCCAAAATTAGATATTCTTCAAAATCCTCTACAACCAGCAACCTTGATTGGTATTCCTTTCCATTAAATGTCAACGACACTTTGGTGGACGACTGCACATTTATTGGCGTTCCGCCCACTGTACGCAAAGGAAAACTTGGAGTATCATCAATACGCAAATGTAACTTTTCTGCAAAACAACGAGAGATTACTGAAACCGAAGCACTAGTATCCACCAACGCCTCGCAACTTACATTTACAATTACATTAATAAAAAGAGATACAAAAGGTGCCCTATCTACACTAAAA